AATTCCATCCCCAGCTTTGAAAAAAAAGAGAAAAGAAAGAAAACAAACAGTTGGCCTGGCAGTGCTCATCTGTGAGGCAGAAGGGGGAACTGGGCCTCCCTGCAGGAAATGTTACTTGGGAAGGAAGGATATTTTATTTGTGAAGTTTCTTTTTCTACCACAGTATTTGTATCAAGCTCTGTTGGTGCCTAGTGCCACGAACCTGGGGGGGATTTCCCTCATGCTGTTACAAAAGGCTGGGAAAGGGAGAAACACTAACCCAAATAGCAACTGTAAGCCACAATTCTGGCCACTGCACGCCAGTGACTTTCAGAAATGGGTTTAGCCCAGAGGTCGCAAACTGGTAGCAAATTGGCTGCATCCAGCCCACAGATGGATTTCCTTTGCTCCACCCTATTGGCCCACACAGTGTTTTTTAAGGAACCAAAAATCTGTGGCCGGTACTAACAATCAGAAGATTTTACATGAAAACCCGGTTTCCTAGTTTCTCTTACAGAGTAAAGATCTGATAACCCCTAGGGTCGTGTGTGCATGGAACTGCAGCCGGAGCCGCTACCCCTAGCTCAAGGGAATTGAGCCGGTGGAGACCAACCCCTCCTAGCCTGCTGCTTTCATTGATCTGATCCGCATGGGCCCTGATGTCACCTGAGTTTGTTTGCAATATGAAGGAGATGCAGGCTGCAAAAAGCCCTCCTTACTGGGCTCTTCCTAAACCTATCCAAATGAGACGACATCATCACATCCCTGATAAAGTGAAGGCACGAGAAAGCAAAAGGATTCCAGAACTGGGGATGAGCGCTACTCAGCCTCATGAGGGCTTCCTCTCTAGGACACTCACTTCGTTAATAAGCATGTCCACTTTTCTTATTTCATTCATCCCACCAACAAGCCTACCAGGAAGAAATTACTGTCAGACCAACTGAACCTGAGTGATGTTATATAAGTGACAACTGGAGACCATTCAGCTGGTTCGTTTTAATGTCTGGCGTGAACTCAATTGTATCCAGAGTGATGAATGAACGCTGCTGCAAAGTCACATGATTTGATCCCACCTCAGGACCCTTGCACTCACTCTCCCTTCTGCTGGAACCTCCCCAGCTGAATCTTACCCCTTAACTCTATTTACATAATTTCCATCGCATGATCATCTCCAGTAACACAATTGAGTGCACACGTACATATGTGTAAGCATGCACACGCATGAACACACATACACAGGCACTCTCTCACACACTAACACATTCCCACATCAATGAACTTAAGCTTCAAGGAATCTCCAAGACTCTGTAGCAACAACGGCATCTAGTCCACAGGTATTAAGCATTTTTGAAGGAAAGAACTGAAGGGAAGCTGCTCTTTTAGTATGAATGAATGCCAAGGTGGCGGAGGCAAAGAAACCAAGCCACCTGCAACTGGGCAGGTGCAGGTTCAATCTCAGCTAGGGATGCCACCAAACCTAGGACCCTGAGCCAGTCACTTACCTCCAGGAATAAAGGAAATGTGGTCATAAAACTAAACCACTGCTGTTTAGCTCACAGCATAATCTCAATGCTGCAATGAATAACACATCTATGGAGTGCCAGCCGATACTATGGCTGGCGTTCCATAAATACCAGCATCTCCTGTCCTCAATATTCTCTCCAGACACCAGCTGAGAGTACTGCTGCCAACCACTGGGCCCTCTCCACTGGGGAGCAAAAGCTGGGCATCTTTCAGCATACAGCGGGTTTGGGGGTTACTTTACTTTCCCAATAGGACGTAAGACCACAGAACATCACCTTGGATGGCTTCTAAAGCAAAAGGTTATGGTTACTACCCATGTGAGTCCCAGAAAAGGCAAGGGTTCCTCGCCCTCTGTCAGTGTGATGAGTTCTGCAGTAGCCGCCAGGGGTCTGTTCCAAGGTCCCATCCCTTTGAAGGGTTCAAGGTCTCTGCCAGGACCACCATAGCAGCTCATATAGAATTTGCATGTGCCTTTGCCCCTTTGGAGAGAGATAAAAGAAGGCAGAAGAGGAGGGCTTGATCCACCAGGCTTATTAACTATTTGGCTGGGTCAGTCCACCATGGAGGGAGGCTAAGCCTCTCGCAGCCTAAACACACACATCCTAATCCATTAGTCTAGTGCTGCCCTGAAAATCAAATGTGCGTATTCTAATCTCCGATGCGCTTTTACATTCCATTAGATCAACAGCGTAGGTGCAAAAAAAAAAAAAACACACAAAAAACAAACAAAAAAAACCCCAAAAACCCGGATGTAGGGACAACTGGAGTGACGCCACAGTAACGGACCTGCTAAGGCTGATTTGTTGGACAGGAGGGAAGCCCAAACCAGCTGCCTTGACAACAGCCCCATCTTCATCTCAGCTCTTCTTGCTCAAGGCACAAAATCCAGGACCACTTGCCAAAACAGTGGTCAATGGGGAGCACGTTTAAAACAGTAAGGAAAAGAATAAATGGTTAAATAAATAAATAATGAAATTTTAAAGCTTTAAATTAACCTGTGCTTCTTCAGTGAAGCCAGACTTGTAGACAGCAGACAAGGCACAGGGAAGTTCAGGTCCCACAGGTTGAAGAGTACAGAGTTGTTCAGAGAACCAAGACAAAGGGTTTCTGCCTCTGGTTTGAATTGAAGCCACTATTCACATTTCTACATTAAGATGTGGGCATCATCCCTTCTTTCTACATGGGAGAGAGGCTTAGGGCAAGCATGAAAAGGCAAGGCTAATGAAGTCTCACAAATGTCCTCAAAGCATGGCTGTCTCCAATGAGGCTGGGAAGCACACTGGGCCCCTGTGTGCCTCAGGAGCTTCCTGGAGTCTTTCCATCAGCCACGTCTCAGTGGCTAACAAATCCCTCTTTGTTAGATAGCCACACACTACCATGAAGCTCGCTCTTAAGAGACAGTAGTCTCCTCCATTCCAATGGGCACCATACGGCCTGGGGCAGGCCTCTAATGGCAAGAGGTTAAGGCTCAAGGATTGAGGAACAAGAGATATCAAATGGTTCTCTTACCTAAGACCAAGTGGACCTTGTTCTAGACATGTCGTGTGTGTTTAGCAGTTCTACTAAGGGCTACCAAATACGAGTACCAAGTCACACATGCCACAAGTATTGGTGGGGCTCAGGAGGCTGGAAGTTTCACTTTACCGTATACCTCAGTAGCCACGTTGTGACAGTGAGGTAGTTATGTATCCTCCCCTCCCAGCTACAGTGTAAAAGAACCTAAGCCATCCATCCTCCGCTTTCTGTTCATATAGAAAACTCTCCAGATCCCAGGATGGGATTTCCTAGCTCAAGTGTTCCCCCATCAGCTTTATGCATCGTGCAAATAAAGAGCTCCTTTCTGTGGATCTACTGCAGCAAAGTCACCCAACACACACACTGCAAGCTCTGATCTTTATGCCTCTCTTAAAGGGCATATGACACTTCCCCACAAGATGCAGGGCTTTAAAATTAGAACCGAGAGGGGGTGAAGCCCACAGATACCCTCCTGTGGCTTAAGCCACTCCACAGAAGAAACCAGGACATGCCTGTAGCTAACCAGCAAACAACTGAACCCTTCCCAGACATCTTCCCCTGTCTTTATTTTGCTGTTGTTGCATTAATCATCCTAACACCTTTTTAATTACAATCACAAACTGGAAGCCATGGCTTGTGATGTTATAAATGCAGATTTTTTTCCAGTTAAATTAGGCACTTGCTGTTTTATGTTTTGATAGGAAGGGACTGTTTGAAGCCTCCTAAAATATCCCAATTAGTTCTTGCTGTTGAAACAGACAAGACATTAACAGACACATTCGCCGTCTCAGTGTGATGTGCTGGAATGTTTGTGCCTGGGTGTTCTTCGCCCCAGCTTCTAAATCACAAGGCAAATTTAAAAAAAAAAAAGAAAAGAAAAGAAAGTGGGGGAGATCAATCACAGCACACATGCTTACTACATACTCCCAAAGTTACAGGCAAAACTTTTCCCAGGCTGCACTTTAAACCCAGAAAGCACGTCTCTCTGACAGGAAAGCAACCCCATCACAGGCCGATTTTACCTATTGGCTCTGTGGAACTGATAGCATCGCTTCCACTGACAAAGGCTGTGTTTCTGTTTGACAGTTGCAATTAATTATTGAAATGTGATCGAGATGGGGTCACCCATCCAGATCTGTTTCCCAGAAAGATACGAAGAGGGAGGGGAGAGGGTGCGCGCGAGAGAGGGGAGGTTTGCCTTTTGGGCATGTGCACCAATGCTGCTTTAATGTCATGGCTGGCAGGAAAAGTAGATTATTCGCTACCTTGACCTGCACTTAACTTTCTCCTGCTCCCTTCCTCCCACCAGCATCTGATGATGAAAAAGAGGTTTATAACTCCCCGCAGAAGTAACTCCAATCTGTCTCCAAGGATGCTTAGATCAGAAAGGGCTCTGCGCAGGCAGGGCACAGCCACTTTTAGAGCATCAACTGGCATCTAGAAACCTAGGCTCCTGGTGCTAAACCAGACCAGTGTTCATTCAGCCAAGAGGGACAGAAAGTCACAGAGGTAGTAAATACCCCACCTTTACGAGAAAGCCAAAGCGCCTACACCTTTTAACTGTTCCTTTTGCTCTGACCTTAAAACACTGAAGTGGGATTCCAGCCACGCAAATGCTCTTGAGGGAGCATTTGATCGATTCCTGGGGATCTCAAAGCCCCGTCGTCAATTTAGCTCTTCTGTCTTATTCCCCGGCATGTTCCCAACCCAGAAGCTCAGAGCCTTGTAGCAACCTGGTCTAGGAATCACCCTGCAGGCAGGCGGGAGAGCTGGGGATTCCCAGATTTTGGAGCCTGGTAGATCCCGAGGCACCTGCTCCTCCTCTCGCCCCAAAATAAAGTGATATTTTAGCTAGAGTCCTGCCCTCTCCTCCGCACCTGGACCCTGCACAACCCAGCTATGGTTCCCACTGCCCTCCCCCGGCTGCCTGGGCTAAGGGCTCTCAGAACCCCTCACGCGTCCCGCGCGCCACAGCTTCCTACCTGTACCACTCCAGCCCCTTCTCGTAGTTCCTGTCGAAGAAGTGCGGCTCTACACCCACCGCCCGCACGTCCGGGTGGACACGGATAGCCTCGAGCAACGCGCGTGTCCCTCCTTTCTTGACTCCGATGATCAACGCCTGGGGCAGCTTCTTCTCCCCGTAATCAGGGGTGCTGGCGGGGTCCCGCTCCGCGCTCGCATTGGTCGCCCTCGGGCCTGCCAGCTCCTCGGTGGCGCCAGGCTCCTGCGCCCCGTGCCCCAGCAGCGCTCCCTGTGCTGTGACTGCGTCTCCTGGGGTCGGCGGGCTCCGGGACCAGACGTCCCGGGAGCCGCCGCCGCTCGCCAATCCCCAGCCGTCGGCCGCGGGTGCCGTGAAGCGCTCGGGGGGCTCGGGCGGCGGTCCGTGGCTCGTGTTGTCCGGCGGTGGCGAGGAGGCGCCGGGGCGCACGCGGGGTGGCGGTGGCGAGAAAGGTGGCGGGCTCGGTGGGGGCTCCGCGGCGGCTCCCGGGGTCTCCTGCAGCGCCAGCGGGAACTGCAGCGAGCCCGAGCCGCCCAGCAGGCTGTAGCACAGGTAGGTGACGGACAGGGACAGGGTACACATGAAGAGCAGCTTGCGCGCCGGCGGCCCTTTAGCGGAGGCGCCGGGCAGCGGCGGCGGCGCGGCGAGCGGCGGCGGCGGCGGCGGAGGCGGAGGCGGTGAGGGCCACCGGGCCATCGCGGCTCCCGGCGAGCGGCGGCGGCGGCCCCCGGCGCTGCCCGGACATGATTTCAGCCGCCGCCCCCGCCACCGCCGCCGCCGCCGCCCAGCCGCCCCGGCTGCATGGAGCGACGCCGCTGCGCCCCCGGCCCTGGCTGCCGTCCCGCTGCGCCGGGGACAAGCCCGGCCGCATGGCCCCCTCCCCGCGCGGGCCCCCGCCGCCCCCCTCAACCTCAGGCCAGAAGCCCGAGGGGGGCGCCGAGCCGCAGCGGCACCTGTTCCGTGCGCAACGCCAGGCTCTCACCGCGCTGCTGCCGCTGCCGCTCCAGCAGCCCCGAGTTCCTTCCCCGCTGCTAACTTTCTGCGGGAGAGAGGACGGGCGCCGAGGGGCGGAGGCGAGGGGGCCGGGCGCGTGCCCGCCGCCGCCCCGGGAAGGAGGGGTGCGCCTCGCGCGTGCCTGCGGAGGGGGTGCGCGGGAGCGGAGGCGTGCGCCAAGGCTGGGGCGCCCAGGAGAGCTGAGATCTTGGCCCCCGCCAGCCGCCGCCAAGAACGCACAGAGGACCCTGCCCCGCCCTAGTTCTGCGCTCCCACGGGAGTCCGAGGTGCCGCGCACTCGCCAGCGCTAGCCAGCGCTAGCCAGACTCTTGGAAGGAATTGGAGCCGACGTTCATTGGGAAGCTGCGAGGCTGGCAGTGGCTAGTTTGCCCCCAGTCTCCTCTGGTGGGACTCTGAGCAAACTCAGCCCATTCCTGATCCTCTCTTCCTTCTTTCCTGTCCTGCCTTGCTTTCTGGAGCAGTTCCTTCCTCACACCTTCCCCACCTCAACTTCCACCTCTCCAGTCTTGTCTTGAGGCTCATGATGGATGGAGCTTCAATGGACCCCCAAGGTTTCTCAGACTTTGGCCCCTGCCCCATCACCTAGTGGGAGATGGCACTGTCCCCTACCAGGTCTCCTTCACTACAGGTGCACCCACCTGTGCCCTATGGGAGGCACTGTGGCCTATGGGAGCTTGGGGTTTCCTGAGCTGACACAGATTGGGGACCCCATCCCTCCAAACACCTAATAAGCAGAGGGATGTCTGTGTGTCACTTCACTGAATATTTTTAGGTGCCTGTGCTCTGCAGAGAGATTTCCACCCCTGCACTCACTGGGTGGTATTGGACCCCTTTGGGAAATTCTACAGAGACTGCTTGCTGTTGCCTTTAGCTCCGGAAAGCGGGGGCTGTGGGGAATGGAAGGTAGGATTCCGGGAGAGCCCATCCAGGGAGGCACTCTGGGGAACCCTTCTTCCTGGCTGCTAGGCACAGCTTGCTAGGTGCCCAGACTGTCAGCGTTCCCCTCTCCCGCTGGCGAAGCTGGCTTCTCCTGTTCTATTTGATCTCATAATGGAACAATAGTTGAAAGAAAATGTATATAATGTCTAAATATTAACAAGATACCTAGTGCCAAAGAGAAGAAAAATGTTAATCAAATACGATGAAGAACGGGGCCTTTTCCCTGGGTGAACAAAAGCTCACTGCTGCTCTCAGCTGGACATGGGTTTTCTACACCGCAGCTTTAGTTCAGATAAAGATTATTCCTTTATAATATATTTTTTATGGCTCACAGGAGACTCTGAAATGTGGAGTCTGGTGTCCTGTAAATCACTCCCTGTAACTAGGGATGCTTTTTCAACCACTACACAACTGCATTACTGTGATGTTAAGGGGAAGGGCCAGCTGAAGCTGCCAGAAACACTGGCTTCATCCAGTCCTCCTTCTGCTCCAAGCCCAGCTTTCAGTTTGTCAGCCAGGAAGTTTGGCTATCTGGTAATGTTATCACTGCCTTGAGTTGGTCTCATTTTCCTAGGCAGGGCATGAGGATGCTCTATCCAGCAACTTCCTGCTGTTGACCCCATCTCTCTATCCAGACTCTCAGCAGTCAAAACAGACCTGACCTGTGGGCTGTTTTTACTAAAGATGTGCTCTCAGAGTTGGAAAGTTTTGGATTAAATGGTGTTAAAATGTAGCCCAGAAAGGGCAAACTGGTAGCAAGTATCTGGCATGCAGCAGCAGGAGGATGAGAAGCATTTAAATCAACTCCAACAGTTGAAAACCACATACTTTCCCCTGGAGAATCAGTGCACTTGCTGAAAAGTCTGAACACACAGCTAAAGCTGAGAACTCACATCTAGAACTCAGGTTTTCAGTGAGACCCAAGCAGTTGCTGCCCCTCCAGAGGAGCCTGCAGGCTCCATTTTTCACGTGTCTGTCTGTCTGGGTTGTGCCTGCATGTACACGATACTTATCTGGAGATAATCAGTAAGATTTCTCAGAATCCTTTCTCTTATGTATGCTCAAATACCCACACTCAAAAGTGTGGCTTCTCGTTGGTGAAACACCATGCCTAAGAAGTGATGGGGAATAGGCATGCACTCTCTTTGTTGGTGGTGGTGGTGATGATGGTTGTGGTGGCCTGAGGGCATGCCTGCATGCCTTTGGTGGGGGGCGGGGATTAGGGGTTTTTTCATTCTGTTCCTCAGAGGGAAGCTCTGAGCGTTCCATACTGAGGTCCTTGTGTGCTTCACTCTACTATAGATGAAAGAGTTCCCTGAGAACATGTCCCTAAGAAACTTACAATAAAGAAATGCTCTCTATGTAGAGAGAACACCAACTCCAAGCTGCAATGCCCACTGGGTCTGGAGACGAGAAGCAATATTGTTTTCTGTTTCTACTGCCGACACCCGTGCTCACTCAGGCCTGAGTTTTCACAGTTTCCTCCCTATGCATCTCTAGGCCTCCAAACACCTCATTTCTATTCATCCTAAGCAGCAAAAGCAAGTGGATCAATGCTTCGGCACAATGCTTCTTGCTTCTGCTAATGCCCTTTCTGGATCTTTCCCTACCTAGTAAACTCCAACCTCTTTTCTTAGAAGTCCCACCTTTCGTGCACCCCACAGCTCTACCAAGCAGATGAGATCTCGGTACACGTGATGTGACTGTGTTCTGCTTCTGCACCTTCAGATGACAGAGTCAAGACACTCCTGTCCGTTCCTAGCTAATGGCTTCCGAGCAGATGGTTTTTCATAGTTTCTATATAGTTAAATAGAGGAAGATAAGGATCACCTGAAATTGTTTTTATAAAGGACTAAATTGAAATAGCCAACATATGCTAAAGATACCTGGCTCTTTGCCTGGCGTGTGGTGGCTAGCAATAATTACTTGGATCTAACTTTTGGCTCAGACCCTGCCTACTGTTTTTCCTATTAAAATGTTGTCCCTGCAAAACGTATATGTATCTTTGCCCCAAACCCAGCCGACCAAGTTCACGGAAGTTTAAGTCCCTAAACTGCTCAGAACATGGCAGCTGTGATGCCAAACCCAGTTAGTACAAACTATCTCTGAGATTCTTCAGTTATGGCTTTCTGGACATTTTAAAGAAAATTGCCAGAAGGATTTTTTTTGAGGATTTGTTTATTTGAAGGATTTTTTTTTAAATAAAGAAATAAGCAAACATAGGCTTTAGGAACGTAAGCAGAATGCATAGTAGCCATTATTCCCCCAGGCACTGGCCAGTTTCCTTGTGGGAATACGGGAATGTGATTTCTGCATTCCTTCCAGAGTGTGTGGCTGTGGAATGTTCCAGCTACTGAGCAGAAGGAAGGAGGAAGCTTGGGGAGACACTGTCCTGCGGAGCAACTGTGGATGAAGGGAATGGAGTTCCTCAAGGAACTGAGAAATTATCCTGCTTATGTGTTAGCTTGAAAGGCTTGGGTTTGGTCCTTACCACAGCTCAATATACACTGTCTGACTGATTACAGTCTACATGCTAACTTTGATTTGCATTTCATTTGATCTAGCTAAGAAGGAATCTGTGTCAGAATACCTAGAGATAGCTGCACATGCTGCACTGTTCCCAACAGACAAGACAGGAAGACAGCCTTGGTGTCTAGCTATAGATGATGAAGAACTAAATAAATCTGATGGATGAAATTATATCATTCTCAGGATAATGAAGGGAGCTGAAGGTCATTGTGGTGAGTAAAATAAGCCAGAAAGACTGTATGACATCTTTCTTATGCAGGATCTATTTGGTGTGTGTGTGTGTGTGTGTGTGTGTGTGTGTGTGTGTGTTTGTGTGCACACCCACACATGTGTCTCTGTACATGACATGAAATGAAAGACAGGTTTGTACAATGAATACACACTAATAAACAGGTTGACAAAACCCCACACATAGAATTAATTTATATGTGCTGACGAGAGTGTTTTATTCCTCAAGTATTAGAATTCTGTTTTGTAAATTGGAATAAACAAATTAGAAACTACAGCATTTTTTTAAATTTTTCAAGCAATATACAAAACCCCTTTTCTCAAATACAGCATCAATGAAGATGCACATCTGGAAATATCTGGAGGTAAATTGGGTAGACTCTGAGGCAAAACTAAAGTGATGAAGACAGGAGGTGAGACATTGTTGGGCAAGAAGTGGAAGATCAGTACTGTAATCCTGATGACCAGGGACAGTCAGAGCCAGCTCTGGCAAAGAACTGGGAAATCTGGAACTGCTAAAAAGTATCATGTGACCAAATCTGGGGAACAGAATTAAGCAATTGTCAAAAAGACGAGAGGTTCACCACTACATCTCAAAACAGAATAAACAAGGAAAGCAAATGATCTGACTGAGGAAGCTAGAGAAAAGGTGTGCTGGTTAGGGCTTTCGTTTGTTGGGTTTGTTTCACTTATAGCTTATAGTCCATCCTCCAGGAATGTCAGGACAGGAACTCAAGGCAGGAACAGATCCAGAGGCCATTGAGGACTGCCCCTTCCTGGCTTGACCTCACGGATGCTCAGACTGATAGATAGATAGATAGATAGATAGATAGATAGATAGATAGAGCACCAAGGACCGCCAGCCCAGGGGTAGCATTATCCCAGTGGTCTGGGCTCTCATACACCAATCATTAACCAGGAAAATGTGCCACAGGCGTGTCCACAGACCAAACCGGTGGGGAAATTTTCTCAACTGAGAGTCCCTCTTCCAAAATCACTCTAGATTGTGTTGGATTCACATAAAAACCAACCAGCACAGGAAGTTGAGTCAGTAAGCCATATGTGCATCCCCTTAACGATGTAAATATTCACTTATATTTTTTCCTAGTAGATCCAAATG